CCCCTGCAAATGGGCTGCCCCAAGCACCTGCTTGCCTTGCTGGTGCCTAGAGCCGCCCCTGATAAGAACGGCCAGACTGGGTCAGACCCAAGGTCCATCTAGCCCAGTATCCTGTCTCCCGACAGTGGTCAATGGCAGGTGCCCAGAGGGAATGAACAGAACAGGGAATCACCGAGTGATCCAACCCACGGACGCCCATTCCCAGCTTCTGGAGACCCTAGTCGCTAGACCCACAACCAGCACCAAATCTGTCACCACTGAGCATCATCCTCAATATATATATAGCTGCCAGGGTTTGTGTTTTCACCTATCCTGCTTTCTCAGAAATGCTTCCAGTTCCACCCACAGGGCCAGGTAGGCAGGCAGAGCATCAGAGTCTCAATGCAGGGATGAGAGGATGGTGTAGAGAGGAGGGCTATAGATTTATTAGGAACTCTGGGGAAACTTTTGGGGTAGGGGGAGCCTATACAGGAAGGATGGGCTCCACTTAAACCAAAGTATAAGGGGGTAGCCGTGTTAGTCTGCATCTACAAAAACAACAAGGAGTCTGGTGTCACCTTAAAGACTAACAGATTTATTTGGGCATAAGGTTTCGTGGGTAAAAACCTCATGCCCAAATAAATCTGTTAGTCTTTCAGGTGCCACCAGACTCCTTGCTGTTTTTCTAAACCAAACTGGAACCAGACCGCTGGCACTTACCATTGAAAAGTTTGCAGAGCAGAGATGAGGGATAGCCGATTGCTGCCGAGGAGCACGTGGATCGGACAGAGACTTCTCTTAGAGGAGAGTCTATTGATGGAGATTCTCTAGGTTTTAGTCAGGAGCAGAGGATGGAAGAGGATAAAGTAGGGCCAGATCAGACGAGAAACATTCACATAAAAAAGAATCTGACCCGTCAGAAAAGGGCAGACAAATAAACAGTGACAAGTTTTTAAAGTGCTTGTACAGAAATGCTAGAAGTCTAAATAATAAGATGGGTGAAGTAGAGAACCTCCTGTTAAAGGAGGATATTGATAGTATGTTGTGAAGGCCAAGAACATAACAGGGTTCAAAAAAGAACTAGATAAATTCATGAAGGATAGGTCAACCGATGGCTATTAGCCAGGATGGGCAGGGATGGTGTCCCTAGCCTCTGTTTACCAGAAGCTGGGAATAGATAACAGGGGATGGATCACTTGATAGTTACCTGTTCTGTTCATTCCCTCTGGGGCACCTGGCACTGGCCACTGTCAGAAGACAGGATACTGGGCTAGATGGACCTTTGGTCTGACCCAGTAGGACCATTCTTATGGAATAAAAGAAAATACATGAATGAGAGACAGAGTTATAAAGAGAAACGATTCATTCCCTGCTGAAGGAAAGGCCAATAGAAGATAAAAGTCTGTAAGGATTTCATATTTATTTGCAGATATTGTGGAAGACTTTGTGAAGGAGATATCCCTGCATGAATATTGTAGTGTCTAGAATCAGAGATTTGTATTTAAATAGGGTCCCATTGAGGCAGGGCCATACAGGTCTGTTTCACCCAACCGGGGGCGGGGGCGAGAGGTGAAAGTGGCTGGCAAGATTTCAGGTTAAAGGAGGGTGCACTCAGCGGCTTGTCCTCATTTAACAACAGAATGAGAAAATACATGTCAGATTTGAAGGACTCTGGGCCCAATGGATTGGGGGGGGGGGGTATAACAGACACCTCCACGGGAGTTAGGTGGTTAACTCAGGAGCTTTTGAAAATACCACTGGGCGTCTATCTTCACCTTCCAGCACCTCCATATATTGAAAATCTGGTCCATGATCGTCAACGTTATATATAAATGCAAGTATCTTTACTGTGAATGTTTGCTTGAAATTATTATTTTTTCTAATTGAAAATAGATACAAGGAAATACTTTTCCACACAATTTACCAGTGAAACTCCTTGTCACATGATATCATTAGGGCCAAGATTTTTTTTTTTAAAGGAATATTACTTTTTTCATTAGATTGTGTTCATCTACAAACTCACTAGACAGGCTGTTTCTCCTCTCGTTCACACCCTGTGTGAGGAGTAACTCTATTGGAGGTAATATTACTTTTGTGCTTTCCTTTTTACTTTTTATATCTCGTAGTAATTACTCGTGTAATGAAAAATCAGAGGCACAAAGAGGGTTGTACATTGTACAGGAGGTCCTAAATATATTGAATACATATGTATACTGCGGCTTTTTGACTTTTTCTTTTGGAGGAGGCAGACATATATTTTATCACCTGGGAGGAATACAGTTAGTTTGTGTGCGTGTGTACTTTAAACACAATTAAGTTCCTTATAATATTCTTTTAAGAGGAGAATTTCTCCTAATTAAGATGCCCACATCCCTCAAAGAACTCAATGGGAACAGAGTCACTGACTGATTGTTAGAGTTACTAATTCGTCCCCCTTCCATTGCAAATTGTAAATGACTAAACATGGGTAAAGGCCATGGTGAATCAGGTCTAGAATCCCCTATTTCTGTTTCCAGTCCAGTGTGGAAGGACTGGATTTGTTTGTCTGTTTGCCTGCAAAGCCTTTGGAAGACCAGTAAGATTGAATTTCGCTGGACAAGAGCTGGTAGTGCTTTTGACAGTATTGCCCCCAGCGGGTTGAGACATCACCTTGGTTCCCTGGTGTTGGAGGGGAGAGTTGGTTGGAAACTGCACAGACACAGGGGGCTACGGATTGTCTCTCCGGGTGCAGCCTTG